GAATTGCAGCAGAATGATTGCTGAATGATTCTTACTGCAAGGAAGACATGTTAACAAATATATTGAAGACAGTTTCGTAAATCATCTCAACTCAGCTTCAATGATATAAGTGTTGTCAGTGATTTATATGGTAGAATAGAGTAAATAATTCCCACAACAATTCATTTGCACATATCACTATGATTGTGTCAACAATCGACTAGTGATTACTGATATTCACTTCTTATGATACTCTCCACAGATCGGTGAATATCATGGTTTCTCACTTGTCAAATGACAAACGATTCACGTTATCATTTCACATAGTCGAAATTTCTTCAAGAATTAAGCATACTACAGTGAGATTGCTTGTTTCAGATAGGCTTGTTTCAAGTTACTGAAAATCTACACTTGAGAATCACTCACTGTTGCCTGATATTCTTCAATTCCACATCCTGTAGAACTAACTGTACACTGAACACTGTATACTTGGATTTCTCAACTAACTATCTATTACCTACAAATCAGTGTGTCACACATGAAGACCATTCACAGTAGAAACTAATTATCTCGAGCTTCTGTTTAACTCGTTCACTGGCTTATTCTACAACCAGTGTGCTTCCAACATTCACACTATCTGAGGATGACGTTGATGTTTTCTGTTTTAGAACTGAATGTAGCTGAGTATTTGCATCAAAATGATGCTTCGTATTATCAAAGCGTATGTTTTTACTTTTTGTGAGAATCATATATAATCTGCGTGAAGATTCTTTAATGCCTAGTGATATACAGGCTCATTGTCATGATGAGTGATGACCATGTATCTTTCAAATGAAGAGACACACGAAGTTGATCTAATAGTCAAGTGAAGGGTATTTTGATTTTCTTGTGATGCACAGATTCATGGTGAAACTGCGAAGTGAATTGAAAATGTTTCGAAGAGTTGGTTCGAAGCAGCAATAACCCAACATAATTTGTGTCTGAACACAAAATGTGGATTGTTTGGTGATAGGCGAGACCGGCGACAGGGAAAATGACAATGATGTTTATACAATTGACTGAGTCACCATGTAAAGTCTCACTTACTTATCAGTGGACAAACAGATGTTAACTTTGAAAAGTGATTTATCTATATGGCAACGAAGAATTCGTGGGAGGATTGATTTTCAAAACTATATCAACCATGAGTTTAGGATCAGTTGTCTTGAACAAGATCCCATATAATATCTGATTTGTAACTGCAACTCAGACATCACACATACTTTGCACTTTGTAAATAACAAGGAATTTGTTCCCCGATACAACTTTGCTGAATCTACGTTCCAGACATCTAGTCACAATCTCCTGAATTTCCATCAACTGTCATCCAGTGAACAAAATATCTCCTCATCCACCCTCTCCTACTGTACACTATGCTGTTCTTCAGATAATCCAATCAATCGGAATTTTCAACCTGTGACTGAGGGATTGCTTCAGATGTAAATTCGCCAAACTAACCTACTCGATACACTTTATGTGTGTTCTGTCATTGCATCAGTCGCTTTGTCTATTCACTCAAGAGGATTGTGAAGATTAACTTGATCAACAAGTTCCAGTTCAAATTATTCGTTGTGTGAACATTTCTCAATGTATTGTTATTAGTTGTGTTAAAGGAGATCATTGGACTCCATGTATGTGCATACATTACTTATGCGTCACGTATATTCATGAAGTAAACACCACAGTGAATACAGGCGTTATGCAGTGTTTGAGTTCCACATTCACTTTGTCAATAAATACACTGTCGTTGTATTCTTCACCTATGAGCAGTAAGTTTCTTCAAGATGAATTGGACATGTAGTGAGAAGACCATTTGAGAAGATCACGCGCCAAGTCAGACAAGGCCGTCGAAATGAATGCAATGGAAATCGACGAGTTTGGCGATGGTGTCCGAGGGTGACATGGAGGAGATGGTTTGAGGATGAGATGAAAGCTTCTGGACAGTCGTGTGGTCATACTGAAAAGCCTGCAGAGAAGAGAGTGAAGTGGAGACGTGCTACTGAAGCCCTATGTTCCACTAGGAACCCATGGGAGAAATAATAATACGAATGATAACACAGATATTGCTGAGTGCTATCTAGCTACTCAATTCGTTCAGCAGTGTATTTTTGTGTGAACTGTTTCACACGCTGTTTCGGACGCTTTCAAATTGCCTGGATTCTATGAATATGTGCTATTACAACTGTTATTATTCCTACTTGAGTACACAACTTTCCTCTTCTAGTTATTATGCATTAGGAATCACTTGAATGAAATCACATCATTCCCTATTCCAACAGTAATACACTACTGTTTAATATACAGCTACAAATGGATGTACATTGTGAGACTATATGCTGAATGACAAGAGTTCCATTGTGAAGGATATGTGGAAGTATGAACTGACTTAAAGCCTTAAGCTTTGTGAATTCAGCTGCTTTCGTAGCCATTTTGTAACATATTCCCCTACCCTCAAGTGCATATCCCGTGGGTGAACAAACATACATAGGGAGGACTGATCGTGAAGTGGACTTGAGGGTAGGGGAACATCTTCCAAAATGGTTACGGATGCGGCTGGATTCACAAACACAAAGCCTTAAGGGTTGATTAATTTCAACTGTCTACACAATTTCACATTTCCACTGGACCCTATCTACACATTCATCTTAACTTAGCAAGCTTACTCACTGTCTTTGGCTCGTCTGATTGACCCTAGTCGGCTTATTCAACCTATGCATTTAGATGGATATTTATCGAGAAGTAAGGCATCCATAACCAGGTTATTTTCTTGTTTCAAAACTTCTGTCTTTCTAGTAAATTTCTTCTTCACTTGTCACTGGCCTACTTTAACTGAAATGAGTTGAGATGATCTGAAGTGTAATTAGTGATTTGAATGGGAGGGTTGCCCACAGATCTAGGTCTAAATTAGAAAACTGTACACAGGCGGTTAATCCTCGTCTCAAAGGTGACACAGACTTTGTAGAGAGAGTCCAGAGACCAGTCACTCACATGATCCCTGTGATGACTGGCCTCACTTATGAAGACCGACTCAATCAGCTGAACCTCTTCACTTTGTCCTATCGCAGACACAGGGAGACCTAATCATACAATACAGGATTCTAAGAAATCACTTCAAACATGATCTGTCTTCTCTTATCCTGCTCACTCAGAGGACGTGGTAGGAGACTCCAAAAGCAAAGAACAAACACAGTCTCCACAGAGTACTGGTTCTCGTGTCGAGTAATCAACGCCTGGAATCGACTTCCAGATGAAGTGTTGTCCGCATCATCAATTGACTCGTTCAAAAGTGGATTGGACAAGCACAGAAATCTACTGCGAAAGGAAACAATATAGGCTCGCACACTCTTATCCTATCCTCAAACAATATATCTGAATATGAATCTGAATAGACACTCGTCTCTAAACCTTCATCCTGTTTTCGTTTAGTCTCGCTATCTCACATTGGTAACCTTGGACTGTGTTCACAACTGAATTTTTGTCAATAAAGAAGTGATTAATGTCGTAAGATTTCAACAGTGTGTGCCATCTACACATCTGATGGATATCTCCACATCAGAACTCCATATTTTGAGAGGATAGAGCACACTGCTGATCCCATAACACACTATTGGTATCATCATATATCTCATTGTGAAAATTACAGAATGTAGATGTTAATAAAACCCTACGTCTTCCATTATTTCTTCAATTGATACCTTACTATGAAGAAGAGCAAGTTTATGGTCATTTTAAAGTTCATTTCTAATTGAATTCAGAGCTTTATCGATTGATATGTTATTGTAATCGTCAATTACACAAAACATACCAATTCTTCACTCTCAACTAATTGTACATCATCGAATTTGTGTTGTATATCACCAGAATTAGTAAGTCTAGTTATCAACGATTTTTAATAGAGCTAAGCACCATCGTGAAATGCTTCAACAGTTCATGATTAGGAACACTGAGGAAGTCTTTTGTCTGTCTAATAGTTTAATGGTACTGCAATTTCTAGAGGGATAACCGGTTCCCGGGACTCACTTAAATCATTTCGACTCATCTAGAAATGGCTTCATTCAGTGTAATAGATTAGTGATGGATTGTTCAATCTTATTTACAACAGTATTCACTGACATCCATCCTCATTCTATCGTATGATATTGTTTGTGTATGTTTGATAACCTTTGAGAGAGTAGACAGATTCGTTCAATTCAACCACTGACTTGCTCTTACATGATTTGGTAATCGCCACACTGTTATCGTTTCAAAAGCACTTTTAAACTTCCATTTCTGGTTAATGTGAATAATTTTTCATTTTCATCTTCCTTGTGAAAGTTACTAAACATTATGCTGAGACCTATTCTGAAACCTTTGCACCTGTGTGACTTCATCATATTCCAATTTGTGAATAACATCTTCAGGTTTCGAACCATTAATCGTTACATTTCTATAAATGCACTAACCTTGACGAAGTTGATGGAAATTGTACAGACTTGTCATTCTAGGCTTCCTATAAGAATTGGGTTGAAATATCATTTAAGTAAGATAGACCATAGTTTTTGATAAATATTCTCCAAAAATTGATATCCTATTCATAAACTATTAGCTGGTGTTACTGATATAATTAGACTAGACGAGTTGAACACATTCTACTGTCATATAACCAAGATAAACTCTGTCTCCTTCACGTTTAATAACAAAGAGAATATTAAATTGATACAAAAAGACATTAAGTTCCTTCAAAATGTCTTACTTCAGCATGATTGAAAATCATCTGGTAACTTCTACCACACTATGGGTTTTCATAATACTCCTCGTCTCTTTCAAATTCCCAACATCATGCGATACTATACAGAATCGTTGAATTTCACCAATAGTTCGTCTGTAGTGCACTCATTCAAAACATCAATCGTATATCATCATGTGCTCAGTTCTATACACCAATCAAATGAAGACAGAACATTCTATAAATACTACATTAACTGATATGAATATATCCATCAGCTGACTAGATTTCAGTTGGCACTCACTTCAATCACAACACTCACCTGCCTCTTCATGTAAATGTGTAGTAAGTTTAATCATTATCAAAATTAGACTTTCACGACATTCAGTCAGTCAGTCAATCAGTTGGTCAGTGAGTTAGTATAAACAGTTAAATGTCACGTTTTATTTAACACTTCAAATAACAGAATATTTAGAATAATTGCAAGACACTATTATAATTATCATTGTTGATTGATACTTGTAATTCTCTCTTGTTACACTACATCAAATTAATCAGCATCTGTTGACATACACGCTTCCATAGGGATCTATCGATATTCCCTGAATATTCACTATTAACATTATGATTGATTTGGTTGTGGCTAACCGTGGATTCTAGGAAGCACGTCTCTCCATTCTCTCATGCACTCAACATGTGGATGTACCTACACCCATGTCAATGATATTGCTCCTATTGAGACTTGCACATTATTCCACCCACCACTTCGACTGCCAATGTCTTATAAATTACTAACCATAGGCAAGTTAACCATAACAGTAATTATTCAAGTAATCTGCATAAGAGTCCGAATATTGACAGTGGTCTGTCCATTTAATCCAGCATACCACTGAGCATTGTGATTATTTGCAAATACTAATAATGAGTATTATCTAGTGTAGGAGAGGTGGGTGTCATAGCTCATTGAGGTGTAGCAGATACACAACGTTTTGGAATTTGAAGTGATGCATAGTGTATCGAGCTTCAGATAGAACAAGATCACTCACTAGTGTGAAGATGTATCCATCTGAAGACTCTCAAATAGAACGTAACGCCAATCCCCGATTCTACGGATAGTCGTAGGTGTATGAAATGTGAAGTAGTGAAATGTCACTTTTGTTTACATTTCTTCATAATGCTGCACATCAACTGTCATAATCACATTCATTCTACACATATCTATTTCATTATTCTTCCTTTTTTGACAATCTCATGCAATCCATCTTGTTTGATAACAGACTCGTCAATGAAGATGACTAGCAGCATGAATGTGATGATGGAATTGAAATCTTCTCGACAAACTCTTCAAGAAATTGATAAATATACGAAGAGGGTATGTGTCAGTTATATGAAATGCCTACAGATTTCAGGTTATAGTTTTTCTTTTTGTGGAAACAAGCATTACATCATTCGTAACATTCAGCCTTCACTTCCTGTATGTTGATCATAATCACCACTTATTATCTTGTAGACACGAAGACAAAAATGGATGGAAAACCATTTTACTTACAGTTATATTAGCGTAAGTGTATTGTAATGTAGTTCACTGGTAAATACATGATCATCAATATTGCCAATGGATTTCTTCATCCTTACATCAACAATCAGATTACTTACAGATTAATTTGATTCATTCACTAACAAGAAGTGTGTATAATCTTTATCTACTATATCACTTCACATATTCATCTGTTATTTCACTCCTTATTGTCAAGTTTCAGCATTGTACTCGAAATAGTTACCATTTCGCTGCTTACAATATTGAAGTTAACACGAAGGTTTCCAACAAATTTACTCCTGACAATGTTACATGTAAGATATGAGTAAATTGTTTCTCATATCATTTATGCTTAACTTAACTTATCAGCAAACTTCAATCCTACTCCTACTCCTCCTCCCCCTCCTCCTCAAAACTCACTAGAGAAATCACATCACAGACCACACAATATCCATTTATCCCAATCAATAATCACCATCTATAATATTTCACACTTCATTTTCTTCAATAATTGTTTCATTAGCATAGTAGTAGTAGAGAGAATGAGGTGGAAACGATTTGGTGGATTTCGAGTGCTTATTACAACAACTTCCTGAATACCTACTTGTCAGTGCTATATGTGAGGAGAAAGGTGAACAAGTAACAAATCCACTTGTACATTGTTCAACTCCACAGATCATCACACACACACACACACACAATCAGTTTTGTGTAAGTATACATTGAGAATGACTATCCATGTATCTTTATGGAAGCGAAGAAGGAAGAAGGGTGTTATTCACTATACATTCTGAAAAGTAATTGTAGTAGGCGTAAGGATAAGATGGACATGTACCTTCCACGATACTCTTCTCACATATACCACATCGGAAGAATATGCTTCTTTCTCCATCACCTTCATATCGAGGCAATTTTTCACAATGAAGAGACATGAGTAAAGTTATTGTGATACTTTGAATCGAAGTGAATTGTCACATTAATCGAGTTAGTTTGACTCACCTGAAACGATATCACCTAACTAATGTAATTGAACATGCAAGTGAGGATTAGTGTGGATTTGCATGAAACCACTCTTTTCTTACTTGCCTATTGAAACACTGTATTATAAGTAGAGAGAGAAGGAGAATGAAGCCAACGTGAGAATAAATGGCTAAATATCATGGGATGCAGTTACATATATCTGAATTCTACTGAGACAATAATTCAATTGGTTTACATTTTCTTCCACTTTGCAGTCTCTTTGCATATCTGCTTTGTTCGGGATTCCTTTTGCTGATATCGGCATTTTGTGGCATCTTGCAGTTTGGGGAGTAGCTTTGGTACTCTATATTGCAACTACAGCTGTTGGTGCAGTCATTCGTAATGATATATTCCATTATTGGGTGTTGTGGTTAATATACTATATCGTAACTATCGCTGTCACCATAACCATTGCCCTTCTTGTCTACTTCGAAAAAATAGCGGTAAGTTTCTTTGTTTGTTTTAAGATTTTATATCAAAATGTTTTCCATTTCAGTAATTTCCAAGTAAGACTTTTATTCCTTGATGTAGATTAATTTTTTTTCTCATATCTGTTCACCCACATCATGCAGATGACACGATATGCGTAATCACACTCACTGACGCATTCTTGTATTCCTCACTATTCCACTTATATTTCCCCAATGCATATTGTAGAACACAATATCTTTTCACTACACCCTACTTTATCTTTCTCTCCAAATGTAGAATAAATACGAATTGCTGATTATTGGTGTAGCCGCGACTGTCGCACTAATCCCTGTGAGTTTCACTACCCGTTTAACTAATATTGAAATTAAATCCTACGCAGACAAATCCTACACACTGAATTGTGTAGCGAACAATCGAAATTGTAGCTTAGATATTCAATGAGATATTTTCTATACTCGGTTTATAAATGAGAACTATTATTCAACTGTTTGTCTCTTCTACCACTCAAAATCATATAAACTTCATCCGCATGATGGAGAACAACAATCTCTGCTAACCACACATTTCACATCAACCATCTTCACATCACATAGGATAGCCGTCACATCAAGAAGATCATTGTTCAACCTCTCATTCAATCAAATAAATTTAATTGTTCATCCTTGACTGAAAACGATGAGGTAAAGTGTGAGACAGACAACTCGTGGATACTTTCAACATATATAATCAACAGGATAAACCACATATACACCGATGACACCAAGGAGGAAGAAAGCAACTTACTCACGACAAAACTGATACACAATGACTACCCGTTCACATTTATCCATAGGTGGGACAGTTATGTAGCATTGAGAAGTAGACAGTGTTCCAGTGCTAACAAAAATGTCTACATCTCATTACCATTTAGACGAGATTCACATAGCTTTGTTGTGAGGAAAAGAATTAGATCAGTCATCGGCAAAATATATTATGCAGCCAACGTGATCATTGTACAGAAGACAAATTCCATGTTACAACACAAACCAAAACAGCATATAGACGATCACATCACATCCCACTGTGTTTATCAATTCACATGTAAGTGTGGACACATGTAGATGGGTAGGAGTAATCGTGATATACAGTAGTTAAGGAAGATTGAATATGTACCTGAGTGGTTGGTGTCAAAAACGAATCACCTCAACAGATCCGATTAGTGCACATGACAAACATCCATCATCGTCTAGCCCTAAACATATACTAGAAACTAATCATAGGATAGAGATGAAAACCTCCTTCAATGTACTACATAAAAGTGGTCAGAGTCGAGTACTCACATTTATTGAAGCTCTTGCCATCCATAACGTGATTAAGATCTTCTTTCCATCTACCCTTCCTATTCCTCCTATCCCTCCACTTCACTTCATTCACACTTTCCATTAATTTTCATATTAATACTTCGACTACTCCATATGTGATTACATTCTTCGAAATGTATAGCACTAATACATCCATCACACATGCTTCACATAATCTTCATCTTCTCATCAGCCTGTTTACATTTACATCAAAGGGATCAGTTGGTTTAAACTTTCAACGAAGTTGCTCATCCTTTCATTTGAAGTGAATTCCCTTGTTGAGATTTGTAGAAATCCATTAGTTGAATGTATCTTGAGAGATGAGAAACAGCAAATGCTTTCCTTGAATAGAAAACGACTGTACGTGGAGTGTACTTGTTGAAGTATTTATTACATGCTGAAAACTCTATAATGTATCACACATGTTGGTTGAAATGAAGCGATTATTATTACTGTTGCTATTATTATTACCATTATTATTATTATTATTGAAGAAATTATTAGACTGCCACATTTCTCACATCATCACCATTCAATTTCATACACATTCAATCTAGAATGAAAGTAACATTGAAAGATGTTTGTTTAGTTAGCAAGTTTGTGTGATGGAAAACTCGTGGAAATTTATCTTTCATATGCAAATCATACAAATCATGTGTGTCAGTCAGTATACTTGTGTACAAATCGGAGTCTGACTATCAGTGAAACTCAGACATATTCAGTAGAATAATTCACACAATTTACAGCAAGCAACGATAATACAATAATGCACCAGTATAAAATGTAAATGCCTCTCATGAATTTGTGATTTCTCTCTATGTGTAACTCAACTTCCTTGTCACTTCTTCATTTCTCAGATCGCACTGGAATTCGGTCAAATAACACTAGGAGAACCACAGTTCCGACTATTCGACGCGGATTACTGTCTGGCATCAATATTCTCGCATTCTATGCTCATCCTCTTTCTAGTCACATGCAATATTGCCTTCACAGTGACAAAAAGTCAACAGAATCAAACTCATCACGTTTACGACATTTTCTGATATTCTGTTGATATTTAACAAGCTGTTTAGCCTCCTCATACAAGTGAACAGTTTCGATGCACGAATAAATTTCTACTCAAGAACTTCTGTATTCTCCTGTCTACTTATTCAATCCTCATTCAACATCATCCTTCTAAAGTGTCCTCAATAAATGTGAGCATGTTGTGTGACAATGATTAACACTGATGATGCTGTGAGACGTTTAATTGATTGTAGTTATTCAGTGTGAGGACTTGTAATGTGAGGATAGTTATCGGAAGTGAATTCTGAGGAAGTACTGCTCTTCTTTACCCAGGCTGTGAATGGAGAACGGTTTGAAAGTAATCCTTTTCTAATTTGATGTCTGCATTCACAGTGAGTGAGTGAGTGAGTGAGTGAGTGAGTGAGTGAGTGAGTGAGTGAGTGAGTGAGTGAGTGAGTGAGTGAGTGAGTGAGTGAGTGAGTGAGTGAGTGAGTGAGTGAGTGAGTGAGTGAGTGAGTGAGTGAGTGAGTGAGTGAGTGAGTGAGTGAGTGAGTGAGTGAGTGAGTGAGTGAGTGAGTGAGTGAGTGAGTGAGTGAGTGAGTGAGTGAGTGAGTGAGTGAGTGAGTGAGTGAGATGGATTGAATGCAACAAACAGACAGATCACTAAGTATTCATCATGTATAAACAATCTTCAACAGCAATATATACATGTGTGAACACAACTTCAGCATAAAACTGACATATGAAGTTAGTTGAATGGGGTTAGATGAGAATAGAACAGGAAGCAAGTAGTAAGTCATTATCAGGGAAATTGCAAGATAATTCGAGGTCGGTGTACCCTAGTGGAGTTGGTCATGGATAGAATACAATACTCGCTGTGACCTAACACCATCCTTGGCTTGTGAAGAACTTCTTATATATCTAGTGGTTGTTGGTGGTACTCGCATCAGTGTTGTCTTCTCCCTTTTGTGTCACTATGAGTTCCATAAAACTGTGGAGGATAATCAATTAGTATTCGCGCTTCATTAAAGTGATTAAATAGTTCGTTTAGCTCTTTCAACTGACTAGTCAGTTTCGTAGATCAGTCAGCAAACATATCCTTATTAATATTTATTCAATATTTACTGATCGGTGAATTCCGCATCATCCGTAATTCCGATGACATAGAACTTAAGGAACCATCCTTCAGTAATTCGACAACACGAAGTCTGAAGTCTATCGTGGAGGAGAATGGCGTGTATTTGCGGGATGGAGCCTTATCTCAGTCTTCTCCCTCTTTCGTATCAGCATTTTTTAGACCCATATTTCATGAAAAGATTGAGATGTGTATGATTACAGAAGCGTATGCATTGTCACCGGTCCATCTTCGATAGACGATACAAACGCTTTTCTAAAGCAATTTCTGTTGTGTGGGAGGAAAGAAGAATAAAGAAGTCTGTTGAAGACTTGGAACTGATTGTCAGTACCCAATCTAGTGAAAAAATGGCAATGAAGGGGAAAAAGGAAAGAATAAAGGGTATTGGAAACATGAGAGCTAAAATTCATCCCACAAATACACTCCACTCTCCTCCACGATAGACTTTAAACTTCGTGTTGTCGAATTAGTGAAGGATGGTTCTTTAAGTTTTACGTCATTGGAATTACCGGTTGCTCGGAATACACCGATAAGAGAATTTTCAATAAACCTCGACAAGCACCCAATTGGTGATTTCTTTACTCAATCAAACACCGAAATCCAATGTCTTCTCGAAATCTACTTTTCCTCTTTTTTCCCCTCTTTTTACGCCTTTCATAAACGGCGTCCCCATCATTTTCTGCTTGAATTCTCTTTCATTTCGTTCTTCGTGCCGGACTGGAATATATTTGAGCTTGTGTTTCTGCTGATCTTTGACGATTCTGTCTCACAGATTAGTGCCACCGATTTCTTGCTAATGCCACTTTTGTAACTTGTGGTACGCTGCCGTGGATACTTACGTGAACGCGCTCCTTCTTTTTCCTTCCGCTTTCGATTTCCGCCCGAGGTCAGCACTGATAGTTTGTTCTTGGGAATGTTTTTATAGGAATCTCATCATGTATTTACGAACACGTTAGTGATCCATTGTAGCACATCACTTTTCAAACTTCGTCGTCATCGCATCCTACCGTCCTTCAGATCAACGTTCTTAGGCTAAATTTGTAGTAAATTGCGTCTTCTAACATTATATTCAAGTAACTGCGTTTTAAATGTATTTAGAGTATATATTGAGCTTCGGATTGCACTACGATTTCGGCAGATATGTTTGTTGTCTATTTAATTACTGTTAATAGTTGTAGATAAGAAGGACTGAATTGTCGGGTTTGTTCTTTCTGGGTCCACTACACTCTAACCGACCAGCAGAGGTGTAGGAACTGTCTCGCGATATTCACCTGGATGATCTTGAGCCTACGTGTATGCCATATTAAATGAAAATTCTTGTTTCGGGTTTAAAGATCGACAATACCTTCATACAACTGTGATTCCAACGTTTTCTCCAATGTGATTCCTACTTCCTTGCACCTTTTTATCAGTCCTTATCAGTAGGATTGGCTGAGGCTGAAAATAAAGCAGTAGAAGTAATGTGAACACATTATCGATTGACAGTGGACTTCATTACGACTGCTAGTACTAGTTCAATCATGGATGTATGCACATGTAGCAACTTGATACATTTCTACATAGTTGCTCATAGTCTGAAGCTGTATGAAGAACTTTGGATTATCCAAAAAAAGATTCAAAATATTGAACGTTATACAATGGTGTTTCTTGGTCAAGTTCCATTTCTGCTTATGAAGTCGGCAAAGTAAACAAAACCTAAGGCACTGATATGTTCATGTGTGAAAAAGTCCACTGCACCGTGCACTTTTGACTCAAAACAGTCAGATGTACAAACCAGCACGTGAAGACGAATGATGTCAATGGTAAACTCCCTAGTTTTCGCTTCTTTTATACATAAATATTCGTTCTCGGATACTCTTCCTGGTAGATACTGGGGTAGAAAGAAGGGTAATCCCAACAACAATTGAGGAGCAACTCTGGTCTACATCTCTATAACTTTCAACTGTCAATGGTCTGTCTGTCATAGCATAGAGTTGTAAGCTCCTTGACTTCGACTTTGGAGTCCCCCTCCAGTTTCAATGGGATAGCATTACAATTGACGTGACCATTGACATTATAGGTATGCATCTCTCTTGACAATGTTAGCTGCTGGCTGGAACAGTTGAGTATAAGCTGATCAATTCTGCGACAACCCACTCCATCTTCGGTGCTGTCAACACTATCCCAAAATTGACATTCCCAGCTCTTATGCTTCCACCATTCAGTCATTTCCTGTCGTTTTCTGTCAATATCTGGTTTGCACTGTGTGAATGTTAACTTTTCGCATCTTATAGTGACAATTGGTTTACTGGTTTTTTCCAGATCACGATGTTTGATAAGGCGCAAACTGCAAGCCATCAGAGCTACGTTTAGACATATGTTGTCTTGGTTGTATTGTGTTCTCTGAAATGGGTTGTTTAATCGTGAAGCTTTCATCGCCTTGCTAGATGACATCATCAGCACTAACTTCAGTATGAAGTGAGCTGTCAATATCTCACTTCATACTGAAGTTAGTGCTGATGATGTCATCTAGCAAGGCGATGAAGGCTTCACGATTAAACAACACAGCTCAGAGAACACAATACAACTAAAACCATTCACCTGAGCTACAAATATTCTCGATCATTTCGAATCATATGTTGTAAACAGGGGAAATGAGACATCCCAACAGCTTATGATCTAATACTCTGCATGCAGTTCCAAGGAAAATCGGTATGAACCGAAGGTATTAGGGTGTCAATCTAAGGCCTAATAACAAATTCATCTTAAGTTGTCACCTAGTGCTTCATATACATGGCTAAACTGCTACTCTGAAAGGCGTGAATTTTTTCAGCCTAGTCGACAAAACATGAGCCTGTCATGAAATACGAGTTCATCTAGACAATAAACTGAAAAAAAGGTCATCGTGCCGTTCTGCCTATTAGAATCCCTTCACACACATTGTGGAATATAGAATGTTGCATAGACGTATCAACTCTTCATTCACTATGCTTTGTGAAGGCCTAGTTTAATTATGCCTACATGGTTTATATCGATATAAGTGTAAAACTTGGGCACTGTAGTAGAAATTAATTCCATATTAGATTTGTTTATTTGATTTATAACACACAGTGATACAGAAATATTCATTCGATGACGTTTCTACCATCAATTACCACTGCTCATAATCATACCAATGTAATCACACCACTTTCGACATTTGATTTTTATAGTTATGCCACTATATATGAGTTGTTCTTATTGGTAGCAAAATTTTCCATATCTCTAGTATGCGTGTTGCATCATTTCTATTACATGTGTTGAGTTTTGATTCGATCAACAAAGATTCAGTTATCGATCTCTCTCTCCCCCCCCCCACTTAATTATGTTGGACTTAGGTACAGTGGCTTTATCGCACCCTATTGTGTGGTTGTGTGTTAATGAATGCATAGCAATAGCCGAGTTTTTTCTAGATTATTGATCTTATTCGGGTCTGTCACTCTACATTTAGCTAAATTCCTATGTTTAGCTATTCTAACTGACTCCGACCGACTAGTTTGACCTATATACTTGGCCTCACAGTCATTACATGGTATTTGACAGATTACATTATTTCGCTTAATTGGTTCTATCGGATCCTTGAGCCAGCCGACAAAGTTTATCTATGAGTGAGTTTGTAGGTTTAAATGCCACCTTAATTTCAGTTCTGTTGAGGATTCTACGTGAAGTTTCTGAGGTACCCTCTTTATAGGGTAATACAATGGAGCCTGTGAACTTTTCTTCGTGTTGTCGTTATTAGTCGCAGTCATGTGACTGCTATCCACCCATCCATCACAGTCAGTTGCAGCAAGTTTTGCCAAGTTTTCTCAGCATTTAGATGATTTTATTCTGAAGAAAAATCACCTTGGTGACAGTTTATTGCCTTTCCATGATCATTTCACTCAT